AAAGTCATCTCATCTAGTGTGTCACTTAAGGTCACTGTTTTCTTTTTCATTTTCTTTCTGGAGGAGCTATCCACTGATGTTAATGGGGTGTTACAATTTTTTTTATATAATTGTATTACTATTTATTTCACCCTTTATTGGCATCAACATTTTTTATATTTTTATGTGCTCTTATATTAGGTGAATAAATATTTACAAGAGTTATATCTTCTTGTTGGAATGCTTTTTTATTCATTATGTAGTATCCTACTTTGTCTCTTATTATAGCCTTTGTTTAAAAGTCTTTTTTTTATCCACATGCTGTTTTCCATAATGTCTGCACCAGTCTGCATTCCCACCAGCAGTGTATGAGGGTTCCCTTTTCTCCACGTCCTCACCAACAATTGTCGTTTATTGATTTATTGTTGATAGCCATCCTGATAGGTGTGAGGTGATACCTCATTGTCATTTTAATTTGTTTCTCTCTGATGATTAGTGAATTTGAGCATGTTTTTTATGTCTCTTAGTAATTTATATGTCCACTTTGGAGAAGTGTCTATTTAGGTCCTTTGACCATTTTTTAATTGGATTGTTTGTCTTCTTTTTGTTAAGTTGTATAAGTTCCTTATATATTTTGGATAGTAATCATTTATCAGATGTGTCACTGCCAAATATGTTCTTTCATACAGTGACTCCCTTTTCATTTTGTTGACGGTTTCTTTTGCTGTGTAGAAGCTTTTTATTTTGAGGTAGCCCCACTTGTTTATTTTCTCCTTAGTTTCCTTTGGCCTAGGACAGTGATGGCGAACCTGTGACACGCGTGTCAGAGGTGACACACGAACTCATTTTTTTGGTTGGTTTTTCTTTGTTAAATGGCATTTAAATATATAAAATAAATATCAAAAATATACATCTTTGTTTTACTGTGGTTGCAAATATCAAAAAATTTCTATATGTGACATGGCACCAGAGTTAAGTTAGGGTTTTTCAAAATGCTGACACGCCGAGCTCAAAAGGTTCGCCTTACTGCCCTAGGAGATGTTTTCAGAAACATATTGCTACAAGATATGTCTGAGATTTTTCTGCCTATGGTTTCATCTAAGATATTTATGGTTTCATAACTGACATTTGTCTTTTATCCAGTTTGAGTTTATTCTTGTGTATGGTGTAAGTTGGTGGTCTAGTTTCATTTTTTACATATATCTGTGCAATTTTCCCAACATCACTCATTGAAGAGACTGTCTTGACTCCATTGTATGCTCTTGCCTCTTTTATCAAATACTAGAGGCCTGGTACACAAAATTCATGCACGGGTAGGGTCCCTGGGCCTGGCCAGCAATCAGGGCCAATCAGGGCCTTCCTGCTGCCGGCCAGGGCCTCCCTTTGTTCCGCACTGCCCCCTGGTGGTCAGTGCATGTCATAGTGAGCAGTTGAACTCCCAGTCTCCCAGTCAAACTCCTGAGGGGACATTTTGCATGTTAGGCTTTTATATATATACTAGAGACCTGTTGCACAAAATTTGTGCACTTCGGGGGAGGGGTCCCTCAGCCTGGCCTGTGCCCTCTCGCAGTCCAGGAGCCCTTGGGGGATGTCCAACTGATGGCTTAGGCCCGCTCCCTGGGGGATTGGGCCTAAGTTGGCAGTCAGATATCCCTTGGCAGCCTGGGAGCCCTCAGGGGATGCCCATTTGCCAGCAGGGAGCAGGCCTAAGCTGCAGTCGGACATCCTTAGTGCTGCAGAGGAGGCAGGAGAGGCTCCCACCACCACTGCTCTACTGGCAGCCACCAGTCTGGCTTGTGGCTGAGCAGAGCTTCCCCTGTGGGAGCGCACTGACCACCAGGGGGCAGCTCCTGCATTGAGTGTCTGCCCCCTGGTGGTCAGTGTGTGTCATAGTGACCAGTCATTCCCAGTCGTTCTGCTGTTAGGGTCAGTTTGCATATTACCCTTTTATTATATAGGATAGAGGCCTGGTGCATGGGTGGGGGCCAGCTGGTTTGCCCTGAAGGGTGTCCCGGATCAGGGTGGGGGCCCTGCTGGGGTGCCTGGCCAGCCTAGGTGAGGGGAAGATGACTGTTTGCAGGCTGGCCAAGCCCCCTAGTGGGGACCCTTACCCCATGAGTGTGTGGCCAGCCTGGGTAAGGGGCTGAGGGCCTTTTTCAGGCTGGCCACAGCCCCTTCAGGGTGGAGGTCCCCGCTGGGGTACCTGGCCAGCCTGGGTGAGGGGCTGATGGCTATTTGCATGCTGGCCACAGCACCTTCAGGGTGGGGGTCCCCACTGGGATGCCTGGCCAGCCTGGGTGAGGGGCTGAGGGCCGTTTTCAGCCTGGACACATCCCCTTCAGGGTGGGGGTTCCTGCTTGGGTGCCTGGCCAGTATGGGTGAGTGGCTGATGGCTGTTCGCAGGCTGGCCAAGTCCCCCAGCAGAGACCCTCACCCCACGAGGGTGTGGCCATCTTAGGTGAGGGGCTGATGGCTGATTGCAGGCTGGCTACGGCCCCCAGGCCCCCAAGCTCCTAGTGGAGGCTGGCTGGAAGCAGGTATCTGGGATTTATTTATCTTCTAGAACTGAAACTTTGTTGCCTTGAGTGGAGGCCACAGCCGGCCAGGGCAGGTGGGAAGCTTGGCTTACTCCATCGCCAGGGCAACCAAGCCTCCTGCTTGCTCCAGCTCCATGGCTGCCGGCCGCCATCTTGGTTGAGTTAATTTGCATATAGTCGCTCTGATTGGCTGGTGGGTGTGGCTTGGGCATAGCGGAGGTGTGGTCAATTTGCATGTTTCTCTTTTATTAGATTAGATAGATTAATTGAGCATAATGTGTTGGGTTGATTTATGGGGTCTCTATTCTGTTCCATTCATCTATATGTCTGTTCTTATGCCAATACCAGGATGTTTTGATTACAGTGGCTTTGTAGTATAACTTGATATCTGGTATTATGATCCCTCCAACTTCGTTCTTCTTTCTCAGGATTGCTGCAGCTATTCATGGTCCATTTTTAGATCCATATAAATTTTTGGAGAGTTTGTTCTGGATCTGTGAAGTATACTCTTGGTAATTTAATAGGGATTGCTTTGAATCTACAGACTGGGTATTATGGACAGTTCATGTAAATTCTATCAATCAATGAACACGATATATTCTTCCCCTTGTTTATATCTTCCTCTATTTCTTTTTTCAGTGTCCTATAGTTTTCTGAGTACTAGTCTTTTACCTCCTTGGTTAAGCTTATTTCTAAATATTTCATAATTTTTGTTGCTATGATAAATGGGACTATTTAGTTTCTCTTTCTGAGAATCCATTATTGGTGTATAAAAATGCCATCAATTTCTGGGTGTTAATTTTGTATTCTGCTACATTGCTGAGTTCCTTCATTAAATCTAGTAGTTCTTTGGTGGAGTCTTTAGGCTTTTTTATGTATAATATCATGTCATCTGAGAAAAATGATAGTTTTACTTCCTCCTTTCAGTTTGAAAGCCATTTATTTGTTGTTCTTGTCTTATGGCTGTGGCTAGGACTTCTAGTACTGCATTGAATGAGAGTGGTGAAAGTGGACATCATGGTCTTATTCCTGTTCCTAATTTTTTCCTATTGAGTATTATGTTGGCTGTATTTCCACTTTGCTGAGAGTTTTTATCAAAAATGGGTGTTGAGTTTTGTCAAATGCTTTTTCTGCATTGATATGATCATGTCGTTTCTGTCTTTCAATTTGTTAATGCGCTATATCATGTTTATTGACTTGTGAATATTGTACCAGCCTTGCATCCCTAAAATAAATCCCACTTGGATATGGTGTGTGATTTTTTAAATGTATTGCTCGATCCAATTTGCTAATATTTTGTTGAATATTTTAGCATAGTGATTATTCAGAGGTACATATTTATTGCCATTTTATATTTTATAAATATATTTATTTTCTTCTTTTCCTCCACCTCCTCCTTCTTTTTCTTCAAGAAGGACTTTTAATATTTCTTGTAATACTTGTTCAGTGGTAATGAACTCTTTTAACTTTTTAAATTCTGGAACCTAGTGGCAAACTCTCCCTGATCATCTCAACTAAATGCTTCTGAAATATATTTTGTGTCAGTTATGTAAGCCCTTCCTTTGTAACTGAGTCTTGATTTTTATTGGTTTATTTGGGTGCAGGGTCAACCCTTACAAGTGATAACTGAGATCCTGGAGGTATATATGGAAAGGGTGGTATCAACTCATGCAAAGCTCCCCAACAAAAAGTCCCTCCTTTATACATTTCTCATTATAAGACTTCTTCTATTCAGCAAGTATTTAATGAGGTATTTGGGTTGATGGGTTTATATTTTACTTCTAATTCCAATTTGGTCCTGTGGAAAGGGGACTATTACATCTACCTACTTTGGCAACATCTTGAATTTAAAACTACTTTGTGTTAATTGAATTTTTAAAGTTCATTAATTTTTAATGTTAGAATGGATGCTAAATGAGCTAACTCCCATCAATAGAAAAATAATAAATAAAAATAGTGTGCACTCTTTGTATTGAGTCCTTGAAAGCAATTAAAACTATGACAGATTCGTTTTCTGGAACAAACATATAAAAAAATATCAAAAATTTTTTAAATTATCAAACAAAGTATGAGCACCCTTTTATTTTAGAAAAATAACTTAAATATCTTTTAAGATAAGAATATAAAGAATTAGGTTCATAAAGTAAATGCATTGGGATAAGATTGGAATATTATGTCCCAAACTACAAATAGTAACTTACTTTGTGGAGGCAAATTCAATTGTATGTTAACAAAGAGATATTTAGCTTATTGTTTGATTTTTTATAAGAATGTATTTATATATTAATTTTAGATTAAATCATAGATACAGAATTAAAATAAATGTTAATATTAGAAACTGTATTACATGATTAATTTAGTTTTTATTATATTTAATAATAGAATTTTAAAAATTAGACATTCATCTAATAATGTCATTTCAAATATTTTTAACACATCTATCACTGACAAATATTAATCTTGAGTGTTACTTCATTCTAACAGGTGTCTGTATGCCATGTTTAGTCACTACAGAGTGTTGAAAAGGCTTGATATGCTTAGAAAAGCGACTCCACTTAGCAACAAAAAAAGAAGGATGTTGATGGAGAGGGAGATTATTCATGCAATTCATGGTGTTTACATGCAATGCAAGGCTTTCAACTATATGTCAGTCGTCCAGGCCTTTCTTAGTTCCATTCCACAATTAACATTGCAACTATATGTCACTCTCACTATAAGAGAATGGCCTTTGGAAAGAGGTAAGTTTGGGTGTTTTAAGCTAAAAGACCATCCTAAAAGGGAAGGTAGGGCATAGTGAAGTTTTAAAAAGACATTAAAAATTTATTTCTAAATCATGATTGTATTAAATTTTGTAAAGTTGATTTTCTGTGAATATTTTCAGAAACAAAATTATAAATAGATACATCTAAAATCTAGAGAAAATTGGTATGAATAAATCGGCATCCATTTTATTAAGGAATATAATATCTAAGATTATATGGGAAAGGGGACTGTTACATCTAGTGGGAAAATAATTTTGTACCTGAAACTTATTACAGAATTATTTTAAAAATATAACATGTCTTCTTCTAACAAAAGTAAAAACTGCAAAGAATTAAACATTTGGAAAGGATACACATTTATAAAATTTTCCAAAATTCTCCAGGAATATGACTGTGTTTTGATTATAGTAGTTGTTACATTAATCTGCATGCTGATGGGATGGAATACACCTATACAAGCTGATTGGCCTGTGTAAATTTCACATTAATGATATTCTACGTACTATAATTATATAAGATGCAACAACTGGAGGAACTGTGTAAAGTGTACAAGTGTCCAGTCTCTACTATGATTATTGAAAAATAGAAAAGTTTCTTTTTGTCTTTTTTAATTAAATGCATTGGGGTGACATTAGTTAATAAGTATGTTTAGATTTCAGCTGTACATTCTTATGATATGTGACCTGTATAGTGCCTTGTGTGTATACTCTACTTTACCCTTTCATAACTCCTACCCATCTTCACTTTGGTCACCACCACACTGTGGTCTCTGTCTATCAGTTTTGTTTTGTTAGTTTTTTTTATTCAATTTTATATTCCACATATAAATGAAATCATATAGTTATTTACTTTATTTGTATGGCTTGTTTAGCATGATATTCTCAAGGTCCATTAAAAAAACCTAGGCACCAAATTTATGAACCTAAATCTTAGAGAAGATTATATTAATTTTCCCCCAAAGGCAAGGGAAGTAAAGGCAAAAATAAATGAATAAGACTGTATAAAATTAAACTTTTGCACAAGAAAGGAAACTTCGAATTAAACAAAAACACAGTAAACTGAATGAAATAAGATATTTGCAAACAACAGCTCCAAGAAGGGTTTATTGAAAAGTATATAAAGATTCATAAAACTCAACACCAATTAACAATCCAATTTTAAAATAGTCAGAAGACCTAAACAGACACTTCTTTCAAGATGACATACAGATAGCCAACACATATATGAAAATATGCTTAACTTCACTAGATGTTAAAGAAATGCAAGTCAAACTACAATGAGATAACACTTCAAACCAGTTAGGATGTCTAGATTTTATTTTTTTTAATTGTGAGGGATGTATATCAGTATATTTCAGCAGCAGCTAAATGAAAAGGAAGAACAAGTGAACAAGAGAGTGACTGGGTAAAGGGGTAGATGTCTCCTTTTTCTCCTTCCCACTCCCAGCCCTCCCCAAGCTTTCACTGCAATATTATCTGTGTTCATGCATATAACAAAACTTGAATAAAACATAATTAATGATAAATGTAAAATTATAATCCGTTACTACAAAAATATCATTTGACATTATCAGATGTCATTTGCAAATACATGTAAATATATAGGATATGTATATTTATAAATCAAAATATTAACTAATTATTGTTTTGGAACAAGAAATGATTATTTAATATTTATTTGGGCAACAAAGTCAGAAGAAACAGTTTTAAAACTTGTAATAAAAATGAGATTATAAATTTATTATTATAATACCTATCATATATTAAACCCATCTTTAGACTGAAAAATGTTTCTCAGAAAAATAGGTATTAAGTGGACATAAAAACTGAAATTAAAAGGAATTCTGGAAAACTGACTCAAAGATGGCGGCCAACAGGACAGCAGTGAGGGAGAGAGTGTGAGTGAGTGGGGAAGTGAAAGGTGAGTATATAGATGTGTGTGGTATGTGTGAGTGAGTGAAGGACAGTTATATTCTGCAGGAGTCTCAGGGGGCTGGCAACTGGGCTTTCCTGGACTGAGAGCCCCTGCTACTGATGCAAGCACTCCTGAGCAGCCCTCTCTGGCACAGAAACCATGCCATCTTGAAGAGGAGAGCTGTGTGACCAGATCCCAGCCTCACCACCACCCAGACTGGCCTCAGACACCATCCTGGATGCTGCATCCACTCTGATCAAAGACATGTTACTTCATTTGCAGATTTGCAGACTCTGGGACTCCTGTGAGTTCAGAAGTATGTGCCTCTCTGGCCAAGCCCATAGCTTCAGCTGCAGACTCCTTGACTTCTGCCTCCCAGACACCAGCTCCTAGATCCCTTTGGTGAGATGATGAGTGTGCACCTCTCTGACAAAGACATGCTGATTCAGCTGCAGATCCCATGACCTTTACATACCCAGCCACTGGCTCACAGACCTCCTCATAATTCACAGAGTGAAACCAACCAGGCCAGAGTCCCCTTGACTCACCGGTAGACTCCAGGATGCCTACCTCCCTGCACACGGGTTCTGGGATCTCCACAGGGATTCACAGAGTGATACCATTTAGGTAACAGTCACACCACACTGGCCAGAGTCACACTATCTCAGCTGTGGCCCCAGGATCCCCACCACCCTGTTGTGGGCCACACAGTGAGCCACATGCCAGTGAGATCCCAGGCAACCCCTGACACAAGAGCTGGAACAACAGTCACATCCACAACCGCTTGCACGACAAGGTCGGGGGTGAGTCACACTGATAAACATCCTGTGAGGAGACTACATTCACAAATGAGAAACTAACATTTAAGACCCAACTATATCAGGAGAACCAAAATAACTCAAGTAGGGGGCTCCATTAGAACACCCAGCTCAGGAGATCTGAGAGACAACACCACTGGGTCACACTATCATCAAATACATAAAATCATCCCCCCCCCTACCCGGCAAAGAAAACAAAACAAAGAAACAAAAAAACTGGGTGGAATAGCAGTTGGATCTAAGACAGAAACAATTACAACAGGACAGCAAAAATTGGAGACAAAGAAACAATCCGCAAAGGAAAGCAAAGGAATAGCCAAAAAAGGAACTAAATGAAATGGAGGCAAGTGATTTATCAGAGAGAGAATTCAGATTAATGGTTACAAGCATGCTCAAACATCTGGATGACACACACAACTCAATGAGAATCAAAAGGAGCTGAATGAGAATTTCACTATGAATAAGAATCAAGAGGATATGAAGAATGACATAGATGCAATAAAGAACAAAATGGAAAGTTTCAACAGTACACCAGAAGAAGCTGAGGACCGAATCAGTGAGTTAGAAGACAAAGTAGAAAACACCCAAGCAGAGCAGCACTGAAAAAAAATATTTTTTAAAAATAGGAGGAGAGTTTAAGGGAGCTTTGGGACAAATGAAAATGAAACAACATCTGCATAATAGGGATGCCAGAAGGAAGGAATTTGAGCAAGGAATAGAAAACCTGTTTGAAGAAATAATGACAGAAAACTTCCCAGATGGTGGGGGGGGGGGGGGAAAGTCACACAAATCCAAGAAGCTCAAAAAGTCCCAAGCAATATGAACCCAAAAATACCCACACCAAGATACATCATAATTACATTAGCAAACATCAATGACAAAGTAAAAATCTAAAGGTTGCAAGAGGAATACAGAATGATACCTATAAGGGTTCTCCCATTCTACTATTAACTGATTTCTCAACAGAAACATGTCTGGCCAGAAGGGAATGGAATGAAATATACAAAGTGATGCAAAAGAAGGGACTAAATACAAGATGACTCTGTCCAGCAAGACTATCATTCAAAATTGAAGGAGAAATCAGGAGCTTCACAGACAAAAAAAAGTTTAAGGGAGTTTGTTACCAACAAGCTATCATTACAAGAAATGCTAAAGGGACAGTTGTAAAAAGAAGAAATAGAAAGGGAAGAAGGAACACAGGCATAAAGAATAAAAATTGCTACAAACAAGCAGTTATCAATAGTAACCTTAAACTAAAATGGATTAAATGCTCCAATCAAAAGACATAGGTTGGCTGAATGGATAAGAAAACATGACCATATATATGCTGTCTACAAGAGATGCACCTCAGAACAAGGGACTCACACAAACTGAAAGTAAAGGGATGGAAAAAAATTCTTCAGGAAAATGGAAATGAAAAAAAAAAAACAACCAACAAAAACCTGGGGTAGAAATACTTATATCTGACAAAATAGACCTCAAAGTGAAGGCCATAATAAGAGATAAGAAGACCATTTCATAATACTAAAAGGATCATTTCAACAAGAGGATATAACTCTGATAAACATCTATGCACCCAATACAGGAGCATCCAAATACATAAAAATACTTCTGGAAGGTATCTAGGGAGAGATGGACAGCAACACAATCATAGTAGGGGACTTTAATACTCCATTGACACCACTGAATAAATCCCCAGGACAAAAAATTCAGCAAAGAAACAGAAATCCTAAATAACTCAGTAGATCAGATGGAAGTAATTGAAATCTTCAGAACATTTCACCTCAAAACTACAGAACACACATTCTTCTTAAGTGCACATGGGACATTTTCAAAGATAGACCACATGTTAGGACACAGGCTAAGTCTTTACAAATTCAAGAAGACTGAAATCATATCAAGCATCTCAGATCACAATGGCATAAAATTAGAAATAAACTAAAAACAATTATAAACAATCAAACATATAGAGACTAAATAGCATACTATTAAACAACAAATGGGTTAACAAAGAGATTAAAGAAGAAATAAAAAAGCATCCTGGAAACAAATGACAATGAAAACACAACAATCTAAAATCTATGGAACAGGGGAACCAAGATGGCGGCGTAAGGTACAGACCTGTGCGTGCTGCCTCCCACAACAACATAGAGACTACCAACTATAAGACAAACAGCTATCATTCAGAACCATGGGAAAGCTGGCCCAGTGGAAGCTCTACAACTGGAAGGAAAGAAAGAAGAG